CGCTGATGCTTTCTCTGCGAAAAATAAAACATTAAAAGTCTTTTTTTTTTTCTCTCAAAAAGGAAACGAAATAGCCACAGTAACTTTTTTCACTTGCAGTTATTATTTTCATGTTTTGCTTTTTAATGGAGTAGGAAAGATCCTAAGTCTTCCTTAAAGAAATAAAATGACAGTGGTGTGCACCTCTTGACAGTTTTTGCACTGCTGCTCCCGTTCAGACCGATGTGCGCATCTGTGACTTCAACGCAGAGAACAAACATCAACTTCTGTGTCAAACTAATGTGACTTCCATGTTGAGGATCATCACTGCGATGGTGATTGTATCAAAGCACCAGATCACGAGCATGACGGGGAACCTGCTTTCAACCATCAGCTTTTGAGCTGCCATATTAAAAAGCCATTGTTTAGAAAATGTTTTCAGCTGCGTCTTTTTTCTAATTGATTCTAGCTGGGGACACAAATCCACTTTGGGGTTGCATCAGGAAGGACATCTGGGGTAAAACTCCAAATCAAACACGTGAAGCTACCCGCTGTGGTGACCACAGGTTAAGGGAGCAGCTCAAAGTAGGTTTTATTTGGTACAACGATTGTGGCTCAAGAGTTGGGAGTTCGCCTTGTAATCGGAAGGTTGCCGGTTCGAGCCCCGGCTTGGACAGCCTTGGTCGTTGTGTCCTTGGGCAAGACACTTCACCCGTTGCCTACTGGTGGTGGTCAGAGGGCCCGGTGGCGCCAGTGTCCGGCAGCCTCGCCTCTGTCAGTGCGCCCCAGGGTGGCTGTGGCTACAATGTAGCTTGCCATCACCAGTGTGTGAATGTGTGTGTGAATGGGTGGATGACTGGATATGTAAAGCGCTTTGGGGTCCTTAGGGACTAGTAAAGCGCTATATAAATACAGGCCATTTACCATTTACCATATCAATTATCGCTCTGGACTCTCAATTTAACACTGAAAGATTTGGATGTCTGAGCTCTGGAAGCACATCTGGTGACCTGCAGGTAGATGGCTTATGTTTTATTCACAGCTTTTCATAGACAAAGTCTATACACAACAATCCAAACCAGCGCACATCCTCTTTTTCTTTGTCACATATAATCAGCATGCTCTGAATTAAAACACCTTGCTCTGCTTGCCAACATAATCTTTGGCTGCTGTACACAACTGAAGATTTTAAAGAATGAGAGAAATGAAAGGGAACATTACCACAAATTTTAGATATAATATTAACAGAAACTTGCTCTGTCAAAAAACAAAAAGTCAATATTTGTGGAATGATTCACCTAAATTTAACTGTTGATATTCATATTCATCATGTTCATAGGGCCACTGCACCAGATCCTTACCTCCTGCAAATACTTACTAATAATAGGACTTAGTTGAAAATGTTTTCTAGATAGTGGAAGTTTTAAAATATAATATCTAAAAAAGACTCCTTCCTTCATCCCTTGAAATACCCTTAAATGTGGCATCATTTTCATCAAAAAGTGGAACATGTTTGATTTTTAATTAGATGAAATCACCCAATTTAAGTTTAAGAGTCAGTGTTTTGACATGTGCAAGTACATGTGGCAGAAAGAGACTTCCACTGAGTGCATAAATGGCATAAATCACTTTATGATTTCACTTGATATTATCGAGCATGCTTGCGCTCATGCTAAAACAGACTGGTCATGTTGAACTCACCACTTATACAGGAAAAATGTCAACCATGATATTGTGGTATGAGGATTTCTGTCACAAGGTAATGTAGAAAAGCCTTAAATAATGCCCTGTAATTACAGTAATGTGTCACAGAGTGTGACAGCGTGAAGGATTTTAGCTGGAAAATAAAATAAAATCCTGTTTCAAGTAAAAGAGTAAGTTGTGATTGTTTGACAGACACAGTGAAGCAGAGATGATATCAGTGATACCATACACTAAAAATCTATTTATAACAAGCATTCAATAGATGACATCCTTCTCCCCAAGAACTTCAGCATAGCTGAATAATTGGAAAACGACTGTGCATTTTCAGGATGAAATTCCTTCCTGTGAATCTCTTTGCCACATCGTCCTCACTGCAACAGCTTTTCAGTGACTCCAGAATAGCTCTGTGTACTGATGCATGGAGACAGATGTGCTGTAGAAGTGTACGCAGAGGACGAGTGTTTGTGAAGCCATTCAATATTAATGAATACAACATTTCCAGCGTGATAAACAACCCAGATTCATTAGCCCTGAGAAGCTTATTACACTGGAAGCGAGAAGCGGTTAGTCTTTTTTCTTTTCTGATGCATTTAGACTCTGATAGGTGAATCATACAGAGATAATTTCAGTAAGTAAGAAATACTCGGTGTGTCTGTGGGAGCACGGAGGAGAACCTTTCTGCTTTGACGAGTTTTTGCAGTTTCTTGTTTTGGCACTCTCGTCTTGGAGCAGGTTGTGTGGATTGCTTGTTTCCAGTAGTCAAGACTGAGGTTATACCACTAGAATTAATGCTAAGTGGTATCACCACCAACATGCCAGTAAAGTTGTTGTATAAGATGATGAAAGATGAGTCACATTCATTTCTGTTTCTTTATGCGTGCACTTGACATTTTTGGTTTGGTTTGTGAACATAACCTGTGCAAACAGACTTCAAATACTGTCCTCAGTTAATCCAACATGATAACATTTAAAGATGCTGCAAGCCATTTTCTAAAAGTGTGCATTAGAGTGTCTCTAATGCTCAAAAGTAAGCTTTAATGTGGCCTGTAGCCCAAAAGTGATGCTAGGATCCTGCTCGGTGTTTAAAGAAACAAACAAACTGATCTTACTTTTAAAGATTTGCTCTTTCCACAGTGAGTCAGCACAGCTGGAACTAAATAGCTCGGCAATTCAGGAGTCAGTTGTCCGCTCTAGGATGAAGATACATTCTCTCTTAAACTTATTCCCTCATTCTATGCTTTTAGGTTTAAAGGTCCCTAAAATGCAAAAACAGGTCAATAGTTCAACAGTATTGACTGTTAAGATGGACAATTTCCTAATTTCTTTTTCTTAATCAAACATTAGTTAAAAAGCAGCAAATTGAGCATGAATTGTTGATACAGGCTAAATACACGTCACAATTAACTGCAGCATCTATTTTAAATGCAGCTTTGTTTCATTTAAAATTGTTGCTTCAAAAATCAGATCCAGGTCTGCAACCAATCACAGTCGCGGTGTTCAAAGTTACTTTGATACATCAAGGTGGTGATAAAACGGCAGAGGTGGATTCAGTCTGCTGTCAGTCGGCGACTAAATTGGTCAAGTTGACAATTACATGCAATCTGTTTGTGATAATGTGGTGATTAAATGTGCCGTCTACACGGACGTTAACATGGACTGCTTACATTCAGAGTGTAGAAAGAACTTCATATATCTGAATTAGAAATTCCTCCACAAATAGTGATGTAGTTGCTGCAGGGCTGTACCTGCAGAATAGCGTAGGTGCCCATAGGTGCCGTCCTGCTTTTACTCCAGTTTGACTGAGTTATTAATGAATGGCAGAGTAGAGATTTAGTTTTAAGAAAGAGAATAAAAATGTCAAATATTATCAGCACGTTTTCATCAAGTGCCTCAAAAAGTAACAATCTGTACATTAAAATATGTGTGAAGTACAGTCCTGATCAAAAGTTTAAGACCGCTTGAGAAATGGCAAAAAATCATATTTTGGATCTTAACAAGGTTCCAAGTAGTTTCAATATGCAACAAGAAGAAATGGGAGTGACACAAATACAAAAATTTTTTGAGCATACAATTTATTGAAAACAACGGTTAAACTGAAACAGGCTGTTTTACAGCTGATCATAAGTTTGCCTTTATAAACCCAAATCTGTGCAAAAATGTGGATTCATTGTCATTTTCTGTCAGGTAGTCACACTGTCATGATGTTCTAATAGCAAAGGCAAAAAAACGTTTCCTCTTTGAATGTTGTTGGGTTGTTGAACTGCATAAGCGAGGTCTCTCACAGCACGCCATCACTGCTGAGGTGGGACGCAGTAAGACAGTCATTCGGAATTTCTTAAATGATCCTGAGGGTTATGGCACAAAAAGGTCAAGTGGAAGACCAAACAAATTTCACCAGTACCGAGCTGGAGGATCCAGTTGGCTGTCCGTCAAGACGCTGGACCCAAATTAAGGCCGTTACTGGTGCCGACTGCAGCGCCATAATCATCAGACTGAGACTGAAAGGCTTCAAAAACAAAAAACGTCTTCAAAGGCCTTGTCTCCTTGAACAACGGAACTTCAGGAGGTGCAGGGGTGTCAAACGGCCGCACGCTTAGTCCAGATGTTGCAACATACCTCATGACTGAGAGGGTCCCTCGTCTGTGTGGTAACAACTGGATTTTTCAACGGAACAATGCTACAGTACACAATGCCAGCAGGAAAAGGCACTTCTTCCAGGAGAATAACATCACTCTTTTGGACCAATCTGTGTGTTCCCCTGATCTAAATTCAGTTGAGAACCTTTTGGGATGGATGGCAAGGGAAGTTTACAAAAAATAGACAACAGTTGCAGACAGTAGATGCCCTTCATGCAGCCGTCTTCACCACTTGGAGAAATGTTCCCACTCATGGAAACGCTTGCATCAAGCATGCCACAGTGAATTTTTGAAGTGATCAACAATAACGGTGGAGCTACTCATTACTGAGTTCATGTTTGGGACTTTTTTTGAGGTGTGGTCCTAAACTTTTGATGAGCTGTAAAACAGCCTGTTTCAGTCTAAGTGTTGTTTTCAATAAATTGCATGCTCAAATAATATTTTGTCTCATTCACATTTCTTCCTGTTTTATGTTGAAGCTCTACTTTTAACCTTGTAAAGATCCAACCATGCAAACTATGATTTTTTGCCATTTTTCATCTGGTCTTAAACTTTTGATTGGGGCTGTATTACAGTGGGCGTAATTTCAGTTTATATGCACCCAAATTGGAAATTATAGTAACGTGACGGTTGATTGTATGATTATTTTTATTAATGTCATGTCTCACTGTGCATCCACAGGTTATGTCCCAAGCAGAGGGCCAACAGAAGAACCTTGTCCAGTCCATCGACTCCCTGCCCACCAAAGGGCCGCTCTCCTGTCTGGATCAGGACCTGCTCCTGCTCAAAGCTACGTCGGCTGCCACACTGAGCTGCCTGGGCGAGTGCCTGAACATCCTCCAACAGACTCAGAGCCGCAGCCAGGTTCCACCTCAGTCCCAGGTCTCCCAGCGCAACCACGCCTCCCAAGGAGCACCCTCCGGTGAGTCCGCCACGGGTCCCGTTCCAGTGCTTCTGCTGGAGCCCCCAACCCCTTCATGCCCCACATCCCCCTTGTCTTTTCAGTCTCCATCTCCCGAACCCAGCGGCAAGGCCCAGCTGTGTCAGCTAGACTGCGCCTCTTGTCCCTGCCTGATGGGTGCCATGAACTTAAACCTTTCCAGCAATTGTTGTTGAATGTTGCATTTGTGTGTTAAATTGTTGTCTTTTCTCATAAGCGTTGTTCTGTATCGCTTCCATTCATTTTTATGTCTTCTTCAATGTCCTCAGTTGCATTGAAATGCCAGCAGTCCTCAGAATGGTCGTGCCAAGTAAACGCATGAAGGAGCGCGTATGGCAATGATTTTAACAGAAAGTATTGTTTACAGAGCTGGTGCAGACATTTCAGATTGTCACCCTATATGCATGTGAGGGGAAAAAATCAGGGTGTATGTGTGAATGAAACCTTATACTATGCACTTCAGCATCTCAAAGGTTCAAGTCTTTGCCAAAGGAATCCACACTGGTGCCTATATTGTTAGACCTCTGCCATGTTTAACCCTCTTTGTGCCAGATCATAATGGATCCAATAAAGTTGTTTCTATTTAAAACCGTTTACAGACTGAGGGTGGTTATATGGGTATATAATAATAAAAATAAATAAAATAAAAATAAAAATGCCAACGGAAAGGATAAAGGAGGATGAAGGGTGAAGGAAATTGAAGTCCATCAAATGTAGGAGTCTAATCCTATTTTCCAAGCAAAGAGGAATATTTGTAATCTATTTATACTTTCTGGGTTTCTATAAAACAATAGCATGATAAAGGTTTTCTCCAGGAGAGGAGAGGGGTTGATGTAAAGTAATACTCCTCTAAAAACCTGTTGAGTACCAAACAGTCGTTGCCCCTAGGATTGGGGGAAAAAAGAACAACAAGTGGCAGTGGCAGATGTATTCTGTTTGCAGTCACAGCAGGATGGATCACACCAACTATTCATAAGCTAGGGCACAATCTGGGGATACACTTCTGTCGACAAATCAACAGTTCCTTCCTATTATTGGCAATTGGCTGCTAATATGCCACTAAAAATACATCTGTGTTGAAATATTGCCTTGGAGGTACTGCATTTGGCAGTTTATTGGTAAAAGAAATATTACTGGAAATAAAAATAAGTAAAATTATGCTGTAGACGTGTTTGGGGAGGGTTTATGCTGTTTTGTAAGACTAAAGATTTAAATCACAGACAATTAGCATGAATTAGTTTTTCTTTGAAAGGTTGCTTGTGGTAAACCGAAGGTGTGTTTAGAAAGAACGCGAGTTTAAGTTGACCGCTGGGCCTTTAGAGGAGTTCATAGTGGCTACATTTATGTGTAAAATGATCTCTCAGAGCAGGAAGCTCTCACACTGAAGGAGTAGAGTGCTGTCCAATACAGCTCTTGCTAGTAATGAATAGAGGCTTTAACTGCTTTAGCACAAGCGAGAGGGATGTGAAGCAGACAAGCTGAGATGATATTCATTCCTGCTTTTAGAAAAAAAAAATAAATCCATAAACTGAATGTGGATACTGAAGAGTTGAATATTTTTAGCTTCTAGGGATTTTGAAATCTGCTGTAACTGCTGTAAATCTGAACCGCTTTCCTCCTGCGAGCAAACTGTAACATTTTCCGATCCATCATTTACGCCCTGTGGATTATTCATCGGAGTGTTTGAGCCATAAAGTTGTTTTCCCACTTGTACCTGTAACTTTGGGAAGGTCGTTTGGGTTTGGATCGCATCCTGAATCTTCCAGTCCTCACAGTTTGTTGGTCTTCTTTTTGCGCCAGCATTCACCTTGCCCTGTACCTGTTCGTCAGACAGGGGGTGGTGTGGAGTGGGACCACCGGGCCGCAAGTACAGACCTCTTTCCTTCCGCATCCTGGCTGATAAGTCCCGCGGGGGTCCAGCTGCTCCCTGCTTCCGGCATGTACCCGCCACACCTCAGTGAGGAGTTCGTTTTTGTTTTTGTTAGGATCCTCGGTCGTTAGCATAGCTTGGCTCTCAAGCATGGATGGCTACCTGAGTATCTTGTTAAAAAGCAGCTGATAAAGGGAGTGGCTGGCTGGTTGAATGGTATTGTTATGCCCACAGACCAAAGCATTGCCACTGCATGGGCAAGATAACTCTTGCAGAGAGCCAAGCATGAGGTTGGACTGAGTTTGGCTGGCACGTTTGTCCCTCCAGGCTTCCGTACTTTTAAACCAAACCAAAGCAACTTGCTTTTGAGTCACAAACCCAACATAAACCTGCCAGTCACACACCAGACAGCATTATTATCGGCTGATATCACAGAGGATCTTTGCTGCTTGCTCTAGCACTTTCTGGATCCCCTCCTTTCCGCTGCTCAGTCAGTGTCATAAAGAGCTTGAAGCCCCACCCACCCTACTCCTCTTTCCCCTGCACACAAGCAGCATTTTCCTTTAAGGAACTGAAAATCCATAAAGGAAATTTCCAAACCTTTGCGAACCAGTCCCCTTCAAGCTTAGCAAAAATTTAGTAAAAAAACACACCAGTCCATCTAAATATAAGTGAGAGCTGAAAGTCTTATTTAAAAGAGGTGAAAGGGGGAACTTGTAGGGGGAAATTCTGATGTGACAACATCATCGGGAAGTCTGAATTGATGTCACGGCCCAGAAATGGAAGATAAAGCCATTGGAAACATCTTCTGCATGAATGTTTGTGTCGCCACTGTTTGATCTCTGATAACACACCTGCATGCCTCTCTCCAATGGCCCGCGACATGCCCCAGCTCACCGAGTAGCTCTGCTTCTGGTGCTTCATTGTGACATCTTGGAGAAAGTATTTAATTGTAAAAACCCATTAATGAAGAAAAAAAAACACAAAACTTCAGAAGTTTTAAATGAATAATTAATTACGTTAAAATTGAATTCTGATAAAAGCCATCGCCATCTTCAATAACCTTTTCAAAAAGTGCACACACAAAAACACTCAATTTCACTTTATTCACAGCTCAATAACAAATCTTGCCCTCAGGCAGAGCTGGCTGCCCTTATGTCTCCGGTTTACAGGAGCCAGGTATCACTGGAGGTAGTTTCTTCGCACTTTCAGGTTCCTGCCAGTCAAACTGTTCAGTTGACCAAAGCAGAACCTGGCCTGAGGGCTATTTCAGCACTTTTTCCAGAGACAGACCCTCTGGGCCCAGCAGAATGCCAACCTGTATCAGCACAGTTAGCTTCTCACTAATGGATATCAAAGAGCAGCCTCTTAGTGCATTAGATATTTAACCTAATTTTAGTGCAGAGAGTGGATATGAGAAGGATCTCTGGTGTTGCACCATTAACAGTACTTTGAAATGGGATCCATTTCTCTGCTTTTAACAATTGAATCACGCAGCTTAAAAATTGATCATTTTTATTTTACTGATAAAGACACTTAGGCCTTCATCAAATACTGGGTTGCTCGAGGACTGCATTGGAAGCCCTTCAAAAGTAGCGACTCTATTTAAAGTCTGAGGATGTAGTTTGGACGTTTCGGCACACATCCAGTGAGGAGTCTCGTTGTGATCTAACCTTTGACTCCTGTCGTGATTTTGAGGACTTTTCACCTGCATCTGCGCCAGCTGTTTAAAATAAAACCCTGCTTTATTTTTCCATTTACGTTGAGAACTTGATTCGACCTTGATCTAACCCAGCTTCTAGGTGTGAGTACCATAGACGTGCAGATAAACAAACTGCAGTAAATAAATGTAAATCCACCCTGTAGGAGCGCGGCATCTTTTGTTGCCTGCTGACACGTCTGGTAAATAAGTGGACCGAACATTCTCAGAGTTGACTTTGAGTTTTATCTGCATGAAAAAAACCCAAACCATAAAAAAAAACCTACAAGTTCGCAAATTAATTAAAGGATTCAGGCCAGAGTAAATGAAGTGTAGGTGAGAAAATGTCCTGTTTAATCAGCTGTTTCACTTCAGTTTTTCTGCCTTTCCCCCTGCTTCTTAGATAAAAATACCTAAGGTGTCATTAATGCTGAAAATAAATAAGGAACACGTTGCCTTGTGAGCTCCTAACTTGTTCACATTAGCTCAGAAACTAATATTTTGAGAGACTGAAATGAGCCTTGTTATATTTTACTGCCTTCATTTTGTTTGTTGGTGCAGGTTTGGCTTCTGCTTTTGGTTTACCTGCAAGTCTTTTTCATGTACTCCAGTTTGGGAACCACTAAATTATTTTGCTTCGGAAAGCAGGATTTGATTAAATTACAATGAAGCAGGTGCTGATGTAACATTTAAAGACGATGCATGAAAATACTGATTTTAAATCAAATCAGCGCCCATTTAATCTCAAGCATCCATGTTGTACTTATTTGTGTACAATGTGTGCAGGTGTGGCTGCTTTTTAATTAAAGTTTCTTAACATTTTGAACGAGTTAGAAAATCCCTAAAAATGGGTCAGTTCTGACAACGCTGACATTTAACAACTGCGCCTTCAACAAAAGATCCTTGAGTTGGATGATCATCTCTGACAGCAAAAGCCCAGAAGGTGAAGACAGTAAAGGTTGAGCATTTTTGGGTATGATTTATTATTAAATGCACAATCGCTGCAGTAAGTGGAAAGAAATTGGTTGATTGATTTCTTTTCTTCTTCTTTATTGAGCCTTTGATCTTTTTGGGACGGGAATCAAATTTAATCTCCATTCTAGTCGCTTCTGTATGTTTGATCATGTGAATCAATACAAGGCAGGCTATAACACTGAACAAATATTAAATTCGCGTAGATTCATGCAAGGACACACATGCACACACCTTCCTGGTTTGTCACTTCCATCAGTCACACACACACCTTTATATTGAATGTCACATATATATATATAAAAAGGAGAGGCTAATCTTGGTTTTCACCCTGATCCCTCTTTGATTCTTTCAACAACAATAACTTGTCGTTTTTCAGATGGTGCTCCTGTGTGGACTGTACCAAAGTCGCCCTCGGGGGAGCAACTGAAGAACGGGGGTCTGACTCCTTTGCAGTCAACCGAGCCCTCCCCGGCCCTCAGGAAAAGGATTCTGCCCCATGGTGCTGAGGTGAGAAACATCACGTCACGCTGTCAATTATCGCGTCAGTATTCGGCCCGTCTCTCTGACCTCTGCTAGCTTGGCTTGGATGCTAAAGGGCTGCACAAACAGTCTGTATGATTTCTAACTGCAGTGTGTTTCATTCAGATCACTGTACAGCTGCTTGTTGATAGGATTTGGTTGGATGGGTACAAAGAAAATCAATTTACATTTGCTCCTTTGGCCCTAAAGTTCAGGCTTATCATGCAAAGTGAATTTTAGTGTATTTTTTCGTCCTTTGCTGCATATTGCATTTATTGGATTGTGTGCGTGTAGCTATGAGCAGGAAGCACAGTGAGCATGGCATACAGCAAAGGTCACTTCCTGTAATTAAACTGTAAAAAAAAAATACATCTACAGGGTATCATATTCCACTGCTATGCTCTGCTTCATGTTCCTGAATCACATTCAGTTTTATTGCAAAGTTTTGAGGAGTTTGACCTGGATAACAGAGACACTAGAAAAAGAAAGCAAAGGCAGGTACTGCGAGTTAAGAAGCTTGTGTGAAATTTTGTTAATTTTATTGAAAGTGTGAACAGGTTTTTTTTTTGTTTTTTTGTTTGTATTGAAAGAAATGAAAAGAAAGCAGCAGAGTGCAGGGATGTGCAAACTACTAGCATGGAGGGCACAGAAAATATATCTGTAACACTTGGAGTCATGTGGTTAACTTTATGCTAAAATAATGTGCAGTGTCAGTGGAGCAGGTGCCTTGATATGGTGTGAACAGATTTAAAAGATGGATATAGATTTCTCACGTGACATTGTGCGCACATTACTCAAGAAATGTCCAACATAATGGATGCGATACAACCACTTATTGGTTGGGAAAAATGTGTTTTCCAAGAGTGGCTGGCAGTGATTCCTGAAGGTTTCTGGCTCTTGTTGGTTGAAATAGGATGCAAAAAACAGATAATGCACCACAAACCTCCTAATAATTGCTTTGAATGCTAGCATATTCCCACAGTTGCATGTATTTTTTTAATGTAAACACTCCATCAATTACTAAGACTGTACCAATATCCTAAAGTGGTCACAAGGAGGTTTTTGCCTATGTGACTCAGGCTCAGCAGCCACTTGCAACCACTCAGGGAATACTAATTGTTCTCCCACAACTGGTGGTTGCCAGAAGGTTTTAGACCAGTCTCTAGTGGTTAGTTCTGGTCTCTTTCATATCTGTTAGGGTCTGCTCAGACTCTGATGTAAGTAGTTAATGTGCATTTCTGTGTATTTGCAGCGCTGCAGATTAGTTTATCACCAACAGATTTTCTGTAATTTCTGACTTGAAGCCTTTTAATCTCAAACTTGTAGCAAACTGGTTGCAGACTAACTCAGTTTTGATGCCATTTTATTGCTGTGTTGATGCACCAAAGTTGCTTTGAAGACCGTCTCTGCAAACCTGGTCCATGTGTTTGAAACAACCATTTCAAAGGCAACGAGATAACAAATTCATTGCACAAGGTTGCAGGTATTTTGGTCCTGCCATGGTCACAAACTGTTGTTGAGGTAATTGGCGACCGCTTAAGTGACCGTAGCGTTGTCTATGATGTGAGTAAACGCTTTCCTGATGACTATATGGTTTCCATTGCTAGTTTCGTGTCTTATTCAAAACAACATCATGTTTATTTTGTAAATTGCGGTTGCCAATAGAGTCAAAAAGAAGGATAAAACAGAGTTTGGCTTACCTGTTGCTTGACCTTTTAATATTTAATGGTGATGATGCAGTGCAACCTCATGTGTTAACTAGCTGAGCCTTTTTTCTTTATCTTAGCCTTGTTGACCTATCAAATTATGAAGCCAGTTTTAATTCTGCAAACACTTAAGTTAATTTTAAGGGGATATTTGATTGATTTCCTTTTTTTCTCCAAGTTTCTTTTTATAAGCTTTTCTTTATTGAACTTGAATAAATAAAGACAAAGCTTATGTAAACAAAAACACTCTGTGGCATTAAATATGCAACAAAGTCTCAAGTGGTTGATGTCAGGCCTTCTTGAAGTTGCCAAAAGATGCATTTTTTTCATGTTCATTGTTATGAAAACTTTGCCTTTTAGTGCTTTGTAAGCTGAAATTACTTGCTGTGGTGATGATAGATACAAATACAAAATATACTTAAGCTGAAACTCAGGGGCCAGTGGCCTCACTTGAGAATTTCTGCCACACTCTATCGTGTTTGCTCTTCCTGGCTGGAAGGGGGAGCACTCCACTCATCTGACAATTTTAAAAGAAGTGCTGTCAAATAAGTGGGTCACACAGTGTACTGAGCCAATCCCTGGAGGAATGTGTGTCTGGACCAACCTGTTTCAGTACCAAGAAATGGAGGGGGCAGGGGGCAGGTGACTGTGACGTAAATGCAGTGAGAGTCTGGTGGAGAGAAAGAGGGGACACTGGAGTGAGATATTAGCGCATCAGTTTCTGTAATTTAGTTAAAACATTGACTTTTAACAACAAGTTCCACCCAAAATAAATCATTTTAATTTGCTTATATTTGCTGTGAACCCCTTAATGTTTTATTTATGCAAATTCTTTTATTATCACTAAAGTTAAAGCAACAAGTTCCACTGGTAGTTACGAGAATGACCATAGACAAAAGCAAAAGCTGTTTTCCCCATTTTCTCTTCATTGATTTCATTTTAAATTCCTTGTAATGCCATTCGTGGAATGTCAGAATGTTTCTCTTGCACACCCACAAACTACACCCTTTTTGACTCCTACCTCAAAGCACACTGTGTTCTGTTGATCTTATGTGCTGCACAATAATGTTTAACATTTAGTATTTACTGTCATATTCCCATATATCATGGTGATGTTGTTTATTCTATTACTCTTGTTCTCTTCTGCTTGTTTTCTTTTTTCTTTCTCAACAGGTGATCCAGGTGATCGATATATGCATTTTTTTCTTTTTTCTGCTCATTCTGTTGGTTTTTGTCTTTTGCCCTTCTCCCCCGTCCCTCTTCTCAGCTGTTTCTCTTTCCCTCTTTCTTTCTCCCCTTCTTTCCCCCAGTCAAGTCTGTCCCGTATTCAGTAAGTGAAAATAAAATAAACAATAAAAGGTGAATCAAATGGACCATTATGGCAAGGCTGGGATGGTCAATTTGGTAAAGTAAATCCGTTGGGCATCTTTGTTTGCCTTTAGACAATAATTCTGATGGCAAAAGAGCCAAACGGGACAGGCAAAAAAAAAAAAAAAAAAAGAATGTTTCTCTTGCGCTGGAATGTCCAGGGACCCCCACATTGGGAGCAAAGTTTTCAAAAAACCGAAAGAACAAGATCGCGAATACAAGTGGCAGAAATGGACTTCCTCCGAAGGGTGGCTAGTCTCTCCCTTAGAGATAGGGTGAGAAGTTCCGCCATTCGGGAGGGGCTCAGAGTAGAGCCACTGCTCCTCCACATCGAAAGGAGTCAGTGGAGGTGGTTCAGGCACCTGACAAGGATGCCTCCTGGGCACCTCCTGGGTGAGGTTTTCCGGGCATGTCCCACCGGGAGGAGGTCCTGAGGCAGACCCAGTACACACTGGAGAGATTATATGTCTCGGCTGGCCTGGAAACACCTTGGTGTTCCCCCAGATAAGCTGGAGGAGGTGGCTGGGGAGAGGGAGGTCTGGGCTTCTCTGCTTGGGCTGCTGCCACCGGGACCCGGCCTCGGATAAGCGGAAGAAAATGGATAGATGTGTAGTTGTAGGTTCACAATTATGGAAGTAGAAATCGGCTAAAATGCTTCTTAAACCAGCCTTTATTTTATTCGGTGCACTTTGCAAGCACCAGTTCGGACTCTGTTTTTCCTTCAGAGATGCTTTAATTATTCGTGGCACAGATTTGACAAAGTGCTGATCAATATTGATATGATAGCATCACACAGTTGCTGCAGATTGGTGGGCTTACATCAGTAATGCAAATCTCCTGTTCTACCACACCACAGAGGTGCTTTATTGGTCTTATATCTGGTGACAAGTTCAAGAAGGCAGTTTGAGATGATTTGAGCTTCGTGACATGATGTGTTGTGCTGCTGGGAGCAACTGTAAGAAGATCAGAATCCAGATGGTTTTAATTTCCATTGCAAATAGTAAAATTAACACACAACTAAAACGCATTCGATGATCTTTTGTGCTGTGTTTATTACCCACTGGACAGCCTATTTATTCACTGCATACCACACTGTTACACAGCAAACCAGGATGCTTTCTGTGGTGGAGTGATACAAGGCCACCAGCAGTTTCCCATCCACGGTGGTCATAAAGGGATGAGCATGGTCAGCAAGAACACTTAGGCAAGCTGTGAAATTTAAACAATGCTCAATTAGTACTAATATCACCACTGGCAGCCTGAACTGTTTATTTAATTTAGGTGAGATCTGTGCAAATTGTAGTCTCGGTTTCTTGTTATTAGCTGACAGGAGTAACACCTGGTGTCGTCTTCTGTTGCTGTAGCTCATCTGTTTTATGGGTGTGCACTGAGAGATGCTTACCTTGGTTGTAAATAGTGTTAATATTGTTGACTATTAATTTTTGTGATAGTTTTTCCTGACAAAAACAAGACGATAACCAAATAAGAACTAATGCACTTGGACAGAAGCTATGATGAAATGGATTGACACGATTGACACGAATAAAAACAAGATGAAAATGTTTTGGAGAAACGAGATCCACTCAGTATGAATTAAGTTGGGGAGGCGGGACGAGTTTGGAAGTGATCCAATTAGAAGTAATCTCCTTGTGCAGCAAGGTGAGACGCGGAGAATTTGATGTCCAGGGAGTAAGAAGAGCATACATATGGATATGGACACATTTTGCACTTACTGTCAAGAAAAATAAGCAACTTTCGCTAGTCTTTACACTGTCTATATGCCAACCATGCCAGGTGTACCTAATAAACTGACCGACGTGTTTACATGAGCTTCTTGTAATCATAAATCACTTTTCTTTAACACCGTTGTCACGAGTCACATTAATCTTTGGCGCTGTCATCTTTTTATTCAAA